TTTCGAACGTGTTTCTCTTTCAGCAAAATTTGCATAAGCATCAAAAATTTGCGTGAAATCTCGCACCGTGTTCACCGATACGATTGCTTCCTCGTAAATATCTCTTGCCTGCAGCACGGAAAACACAGGTTTCAGCAATAGAATATCTGCTTGAAGAAATACAGGTGCTAAAGAATATTTCTAATTTCGATAAAAACATTTTTATGAATTTTACAAAAACGAGAAACTTTTTGATCTAAAAACCAGTTCATTCTTACAAAACACCAAAAAAAATTTTTTTGATTACAAAATAAGCTATTTTAATATCATAATTTTATAAAATACGCTTAACGATCAAGAAAAAATAAAAGGAACTTTTTCGAAATGCCCGCTTCTGATATAGTATTCAGCCAATGAGCACCAAAGAATTCCAACTTGATCACTGTATCTGAACACATTTCATGAACACGACAGCAAAATTTTTTGTTACATATCAATGATTAAAGTAATAGAAAAATATTTTAAAGATGGAAGAAGATGAAGCAAATAATATTAAGAAATTAGTAAAAGTAAAATCTTGTAAGAGTAAAACCTTTAAAAAAATCTTATATTTTATATTATTACGGTAAGAAATTTAAGAAATTTAGAAAAAAAAATGTAAGAAATTATCGTGTTTCTGGGATGGCACAGTTTAATAAGAGGCGATAATTCTCAGGACACGCCAAACGCTACAACACTGCCAAGTGTTTCTGTCAAAAGAATCGCTGTGTTGGTTCAGAAACGAAACGATTGTCAGGACTGCCAGCAGGCTGACTAGTACGCGAATCAACACTGGCCTAGGAGCAAGGAAAAATCACAGACGGGCTACGAATTAATAGCAGTTCTTCCTGTCGCCCAGAGACGAACTGCTGTGTAGTCGATGACATGATTTACAGTTTTGTTTTCCACAAAACACTTTGTCAAGGCATTGTTTTGGCGACGGGAGGGGTTCATGGCATTGTAAGTTTATTTTTTGTTATTACGAATAAACTGTTGTTAACGATCGGCAGCGCAAAAACGCCATCTGAAGCAGATAACGCTCCCTATCAATGGTTTTTTTTTTCTTTTCTTCACAGTTTCAAATGTTTCAAGAAAGTACTCCAGTAATATTCAAATTGGTATGAAGTAACGAAGGATATCAATTAATCACAAAAAAGTTCAAAACCACAGATCTTAGGATGTGATGAAGTACCCTGACGATTAAGGACATCAAAAGTGGAACAGAGAATATAAGCAAATATGTACACACACATCTAAAGGAACTCAAAACGATCTTAAGAATCAGTTTAAAAAAAAAAGAAAGGAAATAAGCAAACCTTCGTATTCCTTGACGTATTATTGAATCAACATTCAATGAATGAACTTTAATTGGATTTTTTGATATCAATTCACACAGCTCTGTCCATAACTAAAGTAAAATATTGCATTTAAGATGGAGTAGAAAGCAAAAAAAAAAGAATTAAAAAAAAACAAAAAAAAACATGAAAGTAAAAGAAAAAAAACCTGATGAGTTGTTTTACCATGTTCTGAGTAAGGTTTATCATCATTTACGAGGATAGCAAGTTGCTGTGCTGCATCATCAAGATGATCAATTTTACGAAGATAATCAACAAAGTCCTCACGATGCTTTGGCAGCAGTTTGAGGTACCTAAATCGAATGCTGTAGATGATGAGATCAACGGTCGTTGAGGCCTGAGGTTGTGATGGTATATTGATAACTTCATCCTTCGTCTACAGAATCGAAGTGAAAATATTCTTTTTCTCATACTCTACTCTCACCTTTCATATTTTTGGACTGTTACTTCATAACCGCATAACATTTTTCATTCTTCACTAATTTCCCCTTTCCTTTGTCTTAAAACATTTTCATAATATAAAATATACATGTGTCATGGAAAACTCACAAAAAAGCTGCCAAAGAAAAAACTGTCAAAAAAAAGGATGTATACCAAACTTCTCATCTTTAAGAAGTAGCCAAGAAAAGGAAGTTGAGTTTTCCCTCTTTCTGCCTCCAGGCATTTTCATTGCAAAAAATATACACTTATCGCAGAAAAACTACAAAAAAGTCGGCAAAGAAACCGCCACAAAGAAAAACATGTATTCCTCCTATAAGAGGGAGCCAAAAAAAGAAAGGCAGATACACAGTAGATGTTCTACTAGACTGATGATGGCCTACAAGAACCGGTGGTGCAATGGATCGCACGCTGCATCCGAATGTGAAGAAGTGTGGTTCGATTCCCAGCTCATTCCCAACCCTTTTTGAAAAAGGACTCTGTTCATCACAGCATTTTTCAGAGAAGATATCTTTATTAAAATATGCACTAGCTGTACAGTGGTAACAAAACTCACCTCCTGTATACTCGAATGGTTGTTTCCGGAATCTCATGACTGGTGACAAATTTGATATACAGTGGCCAAATACGATCATGTTGAGTGACCGGCAATGCCCTCAGAGCTCGATCAAACACTCGTCTTGTGCGCGTAATAAATCGTTGTTGAATCAAAAATTCACCATACTCCATCCATATTCGAGGCATCTAAAAAACAACCTCACTGAGTGACCTCCGCACCGATTTTTTTTTAAATGAAATTATCATTTTCAAAAAGAAAAAATCGATATTCCTGAAGGATTCTCCGCCAAATAATGTAGTTTGAAAGAAAAAGTGAACAAAAAAGTCAATGTTGCAAACCTTGTGCATAAAAACGAGCGCCCGTTCGTAGGCATTGTTAACATGCACATACGATGGATCAGTGGGACATTTGTCGGCTACCTGTTTTCGACGAAATCGAAGATAACTGTACCTAAATTCAGAGAATTTCAAAATCAAGCCCAACAACACTGAGTACAATATGATACAATTTTTTTCCTCCAAAATTTTTCCCAGAAAAATTTACGGCAGACATCACTGAGATAATGCTTCTACGGACATCACTGAGATAATGCCGGGCCTTTATAAGCAGGAATTAAAGTTAAGTCGATTGTAGTATCCAGGTTAACCCTGCAAGCCGAAATATCGAAGGCGCAATCGAATACAGAAAGCTAGAACAGTATGAGAGAAGGAGATAAGAGTGAGATAAGACGTTTCGGTCCATTAAATGATATACTTCTTAACCCAACACTGCGACAGGACTTCGACAGTATTATAGCAGCTGTTTTCAAAAATACAACAAAAAAGTGCTTTAACTATAGAGAAATCGAAAGCCCCTCGGAATTGTTCTCGAGCGGTAAAACGAAGTGCTAGAGCAGCTCGTTATTCACAGCAGTTCTGGTTATGAATTTTTTCTGCTCATACGTAAATCGCCATTCCTGTATGTGCGTTTTTTCACTTTCATCTGCTTAGCGTGATATAATAGACCAACAGGATTGTACGCAGGCGTCATGTGTAAGGTGATATTTTACAATGCAAACTGCCTTTATCCTTTAGATGTAGTGGAGTGATATTTTTCGATGCAGTCTATGAAGTGAGGTGATTTTTTCATCTGCTTAGCGTGAAGTATTTGTTGGGAACAAATAAACGATCGTAATCTCCCTTCGAGAACGACCCGGTGGATCAAGGCACTTAGAACTGGGATGCGTAGTGTGGATCGATGTAGCGAGTTTAGAGCAGTATACTGTGGATCGCCGGGGCAGTGTGGGCCGGCGTAGTGTAGATCGGCAGAGACTGGGATTTTCGAGTGCCAGGCTCGACAAAGAAGCCGAAGTGCGAAGGAAGCGTTAGGATAGTGCTGGTCTTGCGATCTTAGTCAGTACCAACCGAAGAACTCAAGACCCCGGAACTCCTTAACTCTTCGCGAACGTTTTGGTTATTTTCATTGTTGTAACAAAATAGAATAGAAGGATTTCTCTTGAATGTCATGTGTATGAAAACATTTTATGACGCAGCCTCTATGTTTCATCCCTCCGCTGTATACACAAACCGACAGTGCATGGGGGTAGGAGTGGGAATCTTCAATACAGCCTCATACCCGCAATGTTATGAATAGTCATGTAACTGATTTGCAAGACGGATGAGAGAAAGAAACAGATATAAGTGAAGGAGCAAATAAAGTGAGAAAGGGAGAAGTTAAAATGCGATACGGGCAATCATTATATTTAATCATTAAGAAGAGCTGTTTATGTGAATAGACTGCTGACTAGGCGTTTAATTTCTGAATCATCAGGGAAGATGAATCAACTCAACTTCTGTCATAAAGGACACAACCCCTGGCGGATCCAGGAAGTTTT